TTTTAAGTAGACATGCGTATATTCATTATGAAAAGTTTGCGAACTAAACGAAATTGCCATTCTGATCTGAATAAATATCAATCCAATTTTGAAGTACTCACCTCATGGCTGATCTGGGACAAATTTCAGATTTCAGATTAATTATTTAGTAATGAGTTGAAGCAGTGAAAATTTATAAGTGAGATCATATCATTCTAGAAGCACAAATGAAGTGAGTTTATTAAATTTCTAGCATCTTGATTTACAATTCTCAATCCTCACATTTAAAAAATTAAGTAACGAACAAGCTATTATATTATTCGATACTGTTAAACTGTACAACGCTGTAATATATACTATTTAATTAACTACAATAGATTGCATTCGTTGATGTCAAATGTGATTTTTGATTTTTTCTTAGCGAAATTTTAATAATTACCACAGAAAAAAGGAGCAGATAAAAATTAATAATGATAACAATAATGATGATAGCAATAATAGATAGTGCACTAGGACCAAAAATTAATGCTAGCAAGTATTTAAATTTAAGAGTTATACTACTAATAATGATGATAGTAATAATAATAACTATGATTATTGTGACAGTAAGTAATGTAAAACTATATTCTTTGAAGTTGAAGATGCAGCAAAAAGATCATGTGATGCAAAAATTTAAATCTTAATTCAAAATATTTATACTGTAATTGATATCAAAAAAAAAAACTACGATTTTTTTTCTGTGCACATTACATATTTTCTAGCAGTTACTTTTAGCTCTTTATTGTATGGCTTTACTCGATAATAACTTTTTTAATTCATAATAATACATGAAAAGTCCGTGGGATTTTATTCATTTTTACGTAAATTCCCAAGAATTATCACGATAGCGCCTTCCTTTTAACTATTATACTATAGATCATATTTGCAGTACAATAAACTTATTAGAAAGAATTAATATGATTAATACTAGAAATCACTTACTTAAATCAGTGGATGTTCAAAAATCATATGAACAAATATGTTCAGAAGAACTTTCAGCAAATAGCAAGTTCCGCTGTTAATCTTTTTACTTTACTTATTGCTCTTTACAATTTCTCTGTCGATCTCTGTAATTCGCTAATCTTACAAATTGTTTCCATCGCTGTTAACAAAATTTTCAAAATGGCCGCACAAATTTATCACTATTGCCTGTTTAACATTAATTTCAGAAATTTTTTGACTTGTAATTGCTTGCTGAAAAATATTTTGGCAAAAAGTACTGCTTACAACCACTTTTATTTTTATTTTTCAAGCGGAAGAAGTACTGCATTTCTCACCTTTCATTAATAATATTATTGTGATTCTATCAAAAAATTATTTGCGACGTTTTTATGCTTTAATGAACAATCAAGCAGTTTAAGTGTTATCCATCATAACTGTATAATAAGTACTAGTTTTGTTATCTGTGATTTAATTCAGCTAAACTCTGAAGTTCAAGCAAAATGCTTTCTGTATACGGTAAAAATAATTGATTAGACACGTTTGCTATCACTTAAAAAAATATTGAGGCAATGATATATAAAAGAGCTAATTTGAGTGCGCATTCAGTAAGCTAATATAAGGCTGAATTAGACACGATCAGCATATTCAGATTTCTCTTCTCAGCATGGAAATGTTGCATATCAAAAACATTTTGCTCTACCAAAAGTCCATTTTATATTTAATGAATTTGCATTATAGAAAGGTGTACCAAAAGTTAAATATATTCAAATAAAATGTGCTTAATGAAACCGAAATTGTAAAAGTTTTATATGTGATAAAAAAGGCTGCTCAAAACTTTTGAGTAATTTAAATTTTCTTGCTCTTATAATAAATTTTCTCTTACTTTTGCCAAATATTGCTTCGCAGTCATTTGCAAAGCAGTGAAATTAATTTGTGATTAAGAAAATTATAAAAATTAGCTTTCATATTTAGTGTTTGAGTATATTTATTGAGTATTTCGGTAGTTTGAGAAGTGATAGTTTGTTTATGATTTTTTAAACTTAACTTAGACAATCAGTAAGCACTTAAAAATTCGTTTAAAATAAAACAAGACAATAACATGCTAAACTAGTTTTTCTTTTTTTTTTTAAATTGACGCAGAAAATAATTTTGAATGCAGTTTAAAACACTCTTAATTTGTCCAAAATAACATTTGAATAAATGTGTAAATACACTTGATAAATTAATAACCGGGTGCTGAATGAAAGAGATACGTGTATTTTCAAGGTTAACACGAGTGACTCTTAACAATATGTTTATAAAAGGTTACAAGTGAACGAAAAAGATGGAAGAAATGAAATTTTTTAGAAAAACTTCAAAACAACAACTCCTAAACGTAAAACGTAAATGACAAATAGAAGCAAATAGTAATTTAAAGTGTATATAATTGTGCAAGAGAGAAGTAAAGTCTAAGAAACCACAGTTGAGCATTTTTTCTTTCTGCGCGTTAGAAAACAAGTTCCAGTCTCTAAACATTATATTTGCTTGCAAATAATACTATAAAAGTATGGAAAGCATATGGAACTTTTTGATTCTGCCCTACTAATTAAATGTCAAAAAGTTTATTGCTGTTTATATCTAAATATTCAGAAACTTTTGCTTGTATCTCTGTGAATAATTCAGTAATGAGAGCACAAGTCAAACTTTTATACGAAAGACAAAAATGGATCTTTTGCCACATAAGTTTATATAATAAATTGTCTTCCAGCATGAAGTTTTTAATTATTTTAAATCTTTTTCTGCAAAAAAATTTAACTCTAAAGAAGAATAAAAGTTATACAGTTAATAATTATCGTTTTTAGATCATGAGTTATCACATAAGTTCATTACATCTTAAGAAATGAACTTAATTAGCAGTTCCTTAGTCTGATCATTCTTAAAATGATTTATACTAATCATATAAATCAAATTGACCTAATTTCAAAAAAAATATAGTTGCATGTAATTTATGTTTATTTAAGTTCAGTTTAATATTATAAATACTGCGTATTTTTCACAATTTTCTGAAAAAGTCAATGACAACTGCGAAACTTTTCTTTCTAATTAACGTTTACAAAGCTTTCAGTAAATTAGCTTTTAAATCTTGACAGCTTACAATAGTTTTATAGGGCTAAAATAATTGTGAATTCTTAAATTTTGAAAATTCATAAAATTCGCATTTCTGAGTATGTATATCTTCACATAACACTATCAGAAACTTATCTGCGCAGTTTGATGATTTTTCTTGAATATTTTTTCAAAAGATTAAGATCAATAATTGAGGACTGATTTTTTTCAGAAGTAACGAAAATAGAAATCAGTTTTGATAAGAACACAAAATTAGTTTTGTTACTCGACTTTTAATTCTTAGCGTATACTTCAAGTTGTTTTGGCATAATAACCAAAAATTTTCACTTTTTGCAACAGCAACTGTAAATAGCAAACAACAGACAGCAAATATACAATTGTAAGGGATATTTCAGAAGATCAATTTTTTAATGAAGGATTTTGCTGGCTGCAAAACTTTATAGACTTTGATTAAAATAGGCCTATTTTATTTATTGCTACGCCATGCTTGCTTCTCAAATCGTGTCAAAAATAG